CCAAAGGGATTCAAAATTTTTAACAAGTGCCCAGATGAATCTAATCACCCTGTGCCAGCCAGGTTCAGGGACCTCTTACCTTTTACTTCCCTCTCTCAGTGGGTAGGTGCCACCATTGGCTTAGGAGTCCCACATCACACTGTTTAGGAAAGAACCTACATCGGCATTTCTCAGCACAGCCTCAGCTACAGAATGACCGACAGAATGTTAATAAAAATACCTAAGAGTAAGAAGCCCAGGCCCCACTTAATCCAGCCATATCGGGGGATCCCTGGGTGGCGCAGTGGTTTAGCACCTGCCTTTGGCCCAGGGCGCGATCCTGGAGACCCGGGATCGAATCCCACGTCGGGCTCCTGGTGCATGGAGTCTGCTTCTCCCTCTGCCTGTGTCTCTGCCTCTCTCTCTCTCTCTCTCTCTCTCTCTCTCTCTCTGTCCTGGCTGGCTATGATTTATTGACTATCATAAATAAATAAAAATTAAAAAAAATCCAACTATATCGGAATCTCTAAAATTGAGGATTTCTTTTTTGAAGTTCCGCAGGGGACTCTGATGAACAGTCAGTGTTGAGGACCACTGCCAATCTGGGTCCTTTTGGGACCCTCCCTGCCCGTAATGAGGCTGGGGAGAGGCTTGGGAGTATCTCTGGAACCCATGGTACATGGTGCCGCCATTACCAGGATATGCCCTCTCTCCAGCCCTGTGCTTGCCCAACATCTTAGATTCAGGTAGGAAAAAAAAAAAGCCAAAAGGTGTTTATAAAGCAGACCTCTCTGAGATGGTAAGATTCACAAATTTTCCATCAAGACAAAGCAAAATGAAGGAGACATTGACTGGATAGCTATCATGTCAGATGGTGTGTACCTCACACTACAGTCATCTATCACCCTCTGCCCCTACTATAATCTCACCCACATGCCTTTGTATTCATTTATGCATCTGCTAGGGCATCATCCTCCCAGGATTTATTTTATTATTTTTTTTAATTTTTTTTATTTACTTATGATAGTCAGAGAGAGAGAGAGAGAGAGAGAGAGGCAGAGACACAGGCAGAGGGAGAAGCAGGCTCCATGCACCAGGAGCCTGATGTGGGATTCGATCCCAGGTCTCCAGGATCGCGCCCTGGGCCAAATGCAGGCGCCAAACCGCTGCGCCACCCAGGGATCCCCATCCTCCCAGGATTTAGCAGTTTAGCTGAGCCATATCTTCTTGGCCCTTGGACATGGGAGCCCCTGGAGGGTGGGACCTTGTTCCTTTGTCCCCAACACTTGTACAGTGTCAGGATGCAGCGATGCTCGGTAAATGCTATGCAACTGACCCATCTGGCTCTCGGTGCAGAACTTTCCCTACCACCCTGCAGAGCGTCTCCCCAGGTGCATGACATTCAGGAGACAGAAGAACATGGGCTTCTCCCGAGGAGTGGCATGTCCTGGCACACTGGCTTCCGGGGAACTCCAGAAAAAAGAACATGGGTGATGACACAATGTTCCATTGGCAGCCATTATAGCCTTGTAGCTTTCACAATGTATGTTTCTCTCCAGAGCATCAGGAAATACTTTGAGACTTTGGGGATGGACTCCAGTTCATCTTCCATTTTCTGTCTCGTGCTGAAATAAAGAGTGAGTCTAGAAGCAGCAGAAAATAAGCCTTCTCCATGCAAGTAGATTCCTTTGACACCACTTCAAAAATCTGCATAGCAAGCTTCATGCTAATCGCTTTCAGTGATGTTTGCCTAATGACGCCCAAGCTCTTACAAATTCATTATGAGCCCTCTCTGCTTCCCTTTTATTACTATGCTGTCCTTTTCTTTTTAATTAGTAATGCTTTGGATTCAATGCATAACTTGACAGGTAACTTAAAAGGAACTCTTGTAAAAAGTTCTTTTCTCCACAAGGTCAAGATGGTTCCCGTTATTATTTATAATCGTTTTCATGTTCTCTGAATTTTATTTTGTTTTCTTAAAATATTTGAAGGTGCTGTATTTTGGTGTTCTTGGATGAATTATAATTACTGGGTACTGGTATTTAGTTGCACATTTCATCCAGGCTGGGTATTTTGTGTTTCTCAAGTGTATCTCACAGAGAACTGAAAAGAATTCCTTGGTGGAGTAATAAGATAGAACACATGTAGGTACTTATATAGATATCGATGGAACAATTGAGTAGAACTTCATGTTAACTAAGTCTAACAGGTTGACTCTGCCTCTTTTGGTTTCTAGATCATTTTCTGAACTTATCTTCTATCTTTCATCATTTGTAACAACATCTCAGTGACTCTATCCAGACTCCCCCTAGCCCATCTGTATTACTGAAGAGAAGCACCCCAGCCCAGCCTCAGGCACCCAAGTAATCTCAGGATGCTGATACCTGCCTGTGTCTTCCAGGGACCAAGCCCATCGTCCTTTAATCTTCCTCTGTTTGTAATGCATAGCTACCAAAATGCATATTCAGTGTGTGCTTTGAGGCATATGAAATGGAATCTTAAAAAGCAATAATCCATCACCACAAGAAAGGGGCTTAGTTTAATGTGTCCCTGCAAATAATAACATCATTCCCTCTTTCCCTTTCCAGTGCCAGCATGACTTCATTGTGAGATACAGGTGCACCGCTCCGAAGTTACTCTATCTTAGGTAACTACAGAAAGCCAGTCTATTAACTAAAGCCCAAAAATGGAGCACAATTCTTCTATTAACCATTTATTAAGTCAACAAGCAGAGAAATGGCTTCATTTTTCCTTCTAATGTGCAGCAGGTTTATGCATTTAGCGGTATTATTCCTTGAACAGATGTGTCTTTTCAAAGTCATCTTACTTTCCCATGAACGCAGGATTTTTTTCTTAATTGTACGCTTGTAGTCTGCAACAGCTTCAAAAGGTGTTTCTGAACACACCACTGAGATTGCTCCTTACAGAGAGCCAAGTGACATGAAAACCACAATATCATCGGGAATGTGAGCCGCCAGCTCCCCGCATCAAGCGCCCAATTAGTGTGTATTCTTTGGCTAAATACACTCCACAGCCAGTGCAGCCATCCTCAGCGCTTTGATTTCCAAAGCCTTAGAAATACCTGGGAGTTATTTGAATGTGACAGTATTAGAACTACAAAAGAGAAGCAAGAAGCATTCACAGTCAGTCAGCAAACTGCTGAATTTGACAGCAAAGACACTGAAGGTTGTGTCAGATTCCCTCCACGTTGCCATTTTTGAACAACTATGCACGTTTACTGTTTTTTTTTTCTCAGCACTTCCCTTTATCAATAAAAAAGGAGCATTCACAAAGAATCAATATCTAAATCATATCGGGCAACTACTATTACTCGTATGATTTCCTCAACACTGAGCATGAGAAAGAAACCCTTGCTACTATACTTTTGAAAGGTACCAATGCAGCTGGCAACCAAGTCGATACCAATTTTTTTTTCCTATAAGGAAGTATAATCAGCTCTTGGGTCACCTTCAAAATACGGTTCCGTGCTTTCCCTGGAGTCGAGTTACTGTGAGATCAAGTGACTGAAAAAGCAAGGAGAGAAAATAAAAGGATGGTTCAGCAGGAAAGGCGCAGTGCTGCTGTCCGGGCCTGCCTCTGCCCAGTGCAAGGTCATGGAAATTCAGTGTGAGCCCAAGTAGTTCTTCAGCAGCAGACAGCAACGGGTGTGATCCTGGCACATGCCAGTGTTTGTCTGACAGCTGCGTGCACTCCAGCCAAAAAGCTGCAGTAAGCGATCTGCCCAGTTCTGCTCTGCGGAGGAAGGCTCGCCCTGCAAGTCCCACTGAGTCATGAGGTCAAGGAAGAATTCCACTGAAGTCTTAAAATAGCCTTGGCTCCAGCGGGCTAATGTGGGTGAGGCTACCGGAGTGTGCCTGTGTGCGCCTGGCAGGGACACACAGATCTCCATGCTGCAGGAGGGGGGAGTTGAGAGGGGATTTCTTCAGCTGCCTCCCCGTGACACTGGTAAGATCTGTTTGCAGTGGTGCAACAGAAGAGCTCACGCATGAACGTGCTAATGGAACTCTGGTATCTGCTGATAACAGCCAACAGTCAACAGGAACTGGCCTCCCTCTTTTGTGTATCGGAAAATTGACTTGGGAGTCTACTGGGAAAAGTGATTTTTCCACGGATAAGTTCCTCTGAGCAGCTCCATGCTAGTTTCCTGAGCTCAGAACCTGAGAAGGGGCTCCCACTGCATTCTTTCCGGGTGGGGTGGGGGTGGTGGATGGGGACGAAATAACTCTAGGGAACGGAGGGTGTGACTGGCTCGTGTCATGTCCTTCAGTCACCGTTCTTTGCTTACTGAGGCTTCGGGGCTCAGTCTAGTCCACACCGTCCAGTGTGTCAACCCTGCTGTAGACTTTGCTTACAATTCCCTTTAGCAGGGATCACAACCTGCCACATGTTATAGAAACCCACGTGGGTCTGTCTTTTTCTCCAGACCATGAGTTCCTTGGTAGAAGCAGCAGGACATTTATTCCTCTCGAGCTTCTAGCCCAGTGTTCAGCCTAAAGAAAGTGCTAAGAAATACATGTTTAACCAAGGGTATTAAGAAATTAGACGAGTCTTGGCAACAACCCCAAATCTAAGTCTTGATATCGTTTGCTATATTCCATAGACAAATTGGCCCCCAAACCTGAGCAGTTGGCTCTCCAGTGATCTGAAGGGATTGTGCTTTCTTCACTGCCACCTTTTCATTGGAATTTCTTTACCTCTGTATAAACCATCATGTCTTAGGGGCTCTTGGCTGCTGTGACAGCAGTTAAGATCTGATGACCCTGGTGGCAGGAATTCTGTAATTGCTCATCCTAATGTCCATGTTTAACTAACAGCTGTGTACTCTTAAAATTAAAAGCAAAACAAACTTAATAGTTTTACAGAGCCTTTTGTTCAAAGAACTTTTAAATGTCACCAAACTCATTTTTTAAATGTCCACATGCAAAAGCCAAGTGGCAAATATTACCCTCCTTTGAATGTGAAAAGGGTAATTACTTTTTGTGTGTGTTGCTTGCCTATGCCTCACCTCCTCTTTCCTGCCATTTGATAATTTTCTCCCGCAATTATTAGCTCACCCCTGAGAGGGCAAATCTAGTAAGGGAGAAGAGAAATTAGAATTGGATGATTTAACCATCATCTGGTGTCTCTAGAAAAGCAGAGGGGTGTAACGGGGTGCCAGAGGATCGGGAAAGAAGGTTGAAACTGTGTTAAAATTGGTTTGTATTTATTATCCAAAAGCCATCATGCTATTCCCGTCACTCACCAGCAGACGTAAACATGAGCAGCTCGATTGTTACTCTACGGTCATTTTAGAGGCACATTTCTTATGATTGTTCCCCCAGAACTCGGGGGGGGGGAAGCTCTGGTTGACCTGGTCGTTGCCAGCAGAGCAGGGCTCTAGCTTGCTCTTTGGTCCTCAGTGATGCTTGATGGAGGCTGATGCAGGAGCATGTCTCGGGGCTGCGCCCTGACTGCAGGCTGCCAATTCAAGGGTTGAAACCAGATGGTGTCAGTGTCTCATGCCACCCTTGGCCCACGGCACATACTTAGCAAATATCTGACTTCTGAGTCCCATTGAATCGGACCTGCTGTCAACTATCCCAAGGGCTGACTCCCACTGCTCCTTGAAAGAATTGGAATGGTTTCTCTTTGGAGAAAACCAAAGACATGTTTGGGATGAGATGAACATCACACATCATGGGGCTTCTTAGACACGTACAGAGGTAAAAGCAAACACCTCCGTAGAATGAGTGCTCAATACCATTCGGCAAATACGGACACAAGCGCTAACCAACATGAACAGTAAGAGCAGAAAGCTGAGGCTGGAGCGGTACCCAGCCGACAGGTGTCCACGAGCCGGCGCCGGCTGCACCCCTGGGGCCCAGTCAGTGGTGCTTTTTGTCCTTCAGGTAACTGAAGAGCATGTCCAGCCCCCCCTCCACCAGCTCCGGCAGAGGCTTGGAAAGCGGGTTATGGGAAATGTGGAGCCCCTTGTCCATGGGGTTCCAGGCAATCCGCCCCAGTCTCCACAGCAGGTAGAGCTCGTCCGGCAGGGTCTGGATGTCGTTGTTGTTCAGGTTCAGCAGCTCCAGGCTGGTCAGCAGGCAGAGCGACCGTGGGAAGGAGTGGATGTTGTTGCTCTCGGCGATGAAGATCTGCAGGCCCACCAGGCACTGAATGCTCTCGGCGATGTTTTCCAGGCGGTTGGAACCCACGTGCAGGAAATCCAGCTCCTTCAGCGCGAACACGCAGATGGGGATGTGAGCAAAATAGTTGTTGCTGAGGTTGAGCTTCCGCAGCCTGGAGAGGTCGGCGAGGCTGGCGGGGAGCTGGGAGAGGCAGTTGTGGGACAGGCTCAGGACCTCCAGGCTCCTGCAGGCGCTCAGCTCGGCGGGCAGCTCGGTCAGGCAGTTCATGTTCACGAACAGGACCTTGAGGCTCTGGAGGACGCTGATTTCCCGGGGCAGGCTCCGCAGGCGGTTCCCACAGAGGTTCAGGACCACCAGCCGGCTCAGCTTCCCCACGTCGGCCGGCACGGCCCTGAGCTGGTTGTGAGACAGGTTGAGTTTCTGCACCTCGGACAAGCCCCACAGGAAGTCGGGGACGTCCGTCATTCCCTTGGTGACCAGGCTGAAGCTGACGTGGCGCATGCCCCGCTTCAGCAGGGCCCGGGGGTCCTTGCCCGGGAGCAGGCTGTCGTCCCACGGGGCGAAGGGCTGCCTCCCGCGCAGGAGCACCATCCTCGGGGGGCCCTTGTCCCTGCAGGGAGCCCTTGACTGCTTGGCCCCCATCCTCCTTCCTCTTCACCCACTGGCCTTGGGCACCCCAGGCTGGGACAGTGTCCCCCGCAAGCTGTCGCCGGCAGGGAGCTCGTGGAGGGCGCTCAGTGGGGCCTTGCAGGTGCCCGAGAGTCCCCTCCCTGCTCCGTCCCCGAGGTGGGTGTGGGTGGCTTCTCTCCCAGCAGCTCGGCTGTAATGATACACTTGTCCCTGAGACCGCGGAACTGAACCGCTCGAGTCCCTCTGAATGCCACAAGGCAGCTGTCACTGTCATTCGGCCCGAGTTTTATTGGCCTGGTGTGTGCAAAGAGGTCACAGGGAGGCTGCATCTAACTGTCGCCTCTTGGCTTGTCTTGGGTATGGGAGCCGGCAGGTGGGAAACCAGCCCACCCCCCAAAAGAAGCAAAGCCAAAAACTGGAGCAGGCCGCGTGGGGGCCTGACTGTGCACATGGTGGCGGGAAGGCCTCGGGAGCCCTGCAGCGGGCCAGTGAGCCTCGTGAATGTAAGGATGGTCGGGTGATACCGTGCACGCCCGTTTCAAACTCTGATGAGTTGTGCAACTGTGAGAAACTAATAGGGGGAGCCTGCAATCCTCGGAGCCAAAGGTTTCTGCAGGGTGCCTGTCACAGGTGCCACAGTGAGGAGAGAGGGAAGGGCCCAGACCCTCCATGCTCATGTCAACCAGAGACACTCTGCGGCCATCTCTTTCACTCTGGGTTTCTGGGTGGAGTGGGGCCCCCTTTAAATGTTTGAACAGCCACTCGAGTGGCTTATCTTAGTGAGGTTGGCCCGGGGTGCCCATGGTCCTGGAAGAACAGAGCCTCCCTGGAACATTCCAGTCAACCAATCAATCTCTCTGTCTCTCCCCCTGCCATCCCTCTCTCCTTCCCTCCCTTCGTCTCTCCTCCCACCCTCTCTCTCTTAAATTAAAACGGTTAATTTATACCCCTAAGTATGTAGAGTTAATTATTGGCATCATGGGCTGAAAACTGCATCCCCCTGACATTTCAAATGTTGAAGTCCTCACCCCCATGTTGTGCCCAAGATCGCGAATCCGAGAAACCACCAAGGAGCCGACACCGATGCAAACACACGAGGGTTTATTTACAAGCTCGAGCCTGGGTCCAAGTGTACCCGACACAGCGGAGCAGGGACTTGGACCCCGAGGTGGGTTTCAGCTTAGTTTTAAGGGCTGGTCTAGGGGACCTCCAGAAGGGGTGGAGCAATTCCTCAAGTTCTGTTTACATTCTGATAGGGGCTTTCAAGGGCATTGAGCTCTGTTCTCATTCTAATAGGGGCTTCCTAGGACGTTAAGCTGTGAGCTGTTTTCTTCCTGTAACTGAAGTAAGGTAAAGTTCAGCTCTTCTTCACAGGGGCCTGGCATGGCTGTACTTGTGCTAACGCTGAACTTAAGGTGGAATGGCCTTAATTTTCTCGGCCTCCACACCCCACTCTTCCCCCGGACCTCAGATGGGACTGTATTTGGAGACGGGGCCTTGTGAGGACACAAGGAAGAGACAGCCATCTGCGAGCCAAGGACGAAGGCCTCAGAAGCCACCAATCCTGCTGACACCTTGGTCTGGGACTTGTAGCCTCCAGGATGATGAGAAAATAAACTTCTGCTGTTTGAGCCACTCAGTCTGTGGTGCTTAGCAGCCCTGGTAAACAGTGGAGGAGGCAGACACATTTGCGTAGGTGAAAAATCCTAAAAATAGGTAGTGATTAAGGAGAGAAGAGGTAGCAAAGGTGAGGACCCAGGCTGAGAGAAAGGGCTTGCGGTCTGGAACAAAGGCTGGCTTGGGCCGGAAGTGTGTGGCTTTTGCTGGCAGCCCTCAGCGCAGCACTTGTATATCCTGGAGAGCAATGCTGGTCCTATGACCGTGCTCTCAGAGCTGTGACCACCACGCCAGGAGCTGGAGCTGAGCCCCTGCTGGGTGCCGCCTGTGGAATCTGCAGGTCTGTCCACACAGAGGCCAACCTCCAGGCAGGAGAAGGAGCAGGAGGTTGTAAAACAATGCAAGGTCATTTCTCCTTCCACTTGGTATTGACCCAACAAGCCCCTGGGATTCTTGAATAAAGGGGAATATCTGGGGCTTTTTTTTTTTTTTAACAGAGTACTTGAGTGTTCTAGCTTTTAGGTGGGGCGGCGTGGGCGGTGTGGGCGGCGTGGGTGGCGTGGGTGGGGGAGGTAATGTGGCTAAATTTGCACCTAAGTTTTGGGAGCATACTATGCCTTATATATGTAAATTTTATCTGACAACAAGGTTCTGGTGTTAAAAAAAATAGGTATGCATCCTCTTTCCCTCTTTCCTTCTGGGAGCATGAGAAATTATGTTAGTTCCTAAAATATAGGAGCTGAAAAGGTCTAAGCAAGAATCTACAGGTTGCTTCTTTGTGGTAATTCCCCTCCTTCCTCTTAATATGTTCTTTCTAACTAAATACTTTTTAAGCATTTATCAGTAGCCAACATTTGTCAAATGTTTACTGTGTGAAAAGCATCCAGGGGTGGCTCAGTCGGTTGAGCGTCTGCCTTCTGCTCAGGTCATGATCCCAGGACCCTGGGATCGAGCCCTTCATCGGTCTCCCTGCTCAGTGGGGAGTCTGCTTCTCCCTCTGCCTCCTCCCCTGGCTTGAACTCTCTCAATCTCTCTCTCTGTCAAATAAATAAATAAAATATTTTTTTAAAAGGAACAACACTAGGCACTGTACAGGCAGGATGGGAGGATGGGTACTGAAACCATCGCAATTTTATAGGTGAGGAAGCGATGATAGAAAGAGGTTACTTAGGCACTATCAAGTCAGTTGCCCAAATTCAGGGATCTGGTCCATGGCAGAACCAGAATTCAAATCCAGTTATTCTGACTCCGTAGCTCAGACTGGAACCATCAGAAGACTCTCAGCTTACTCCTGTAGAAAGATGGAATGAATATGGCCAGGATATGGATTTTTGTTTGCAAGTTGCTAGGAAGTAGGACTGGAGGAAATAAAGGTAAAGGAAGTACTACATAATTACACGCATTGAAATAGCTATACAAATTGGCATTAACCCTTCTCACTCTACCTGCAGCACAAGTAGGAAAAAAAAGCAAAGTTAAAATGCCATTCCAGAAAACTCTAGCATAAGGGACTTAATCCTTTCCAAAACTAATTTGGTTCTTCTAGCAAAGTTGTTATTTATCAAATGAATGAGCTATGTGAATAACTGACAGTTTCTTCTAAGTTTTTGAAATGTAGATCCTGCCGTCTTAGTTAGCCATGTTTACCCAGTCTGAGAATAGTTCACCTCAAGGATGGTCATTGTGTCTGGGTAGTGTCCTCATCTGTGAAATGGGCCACTTGGGGGAGAGATTTCCCAGAGCTCTTTCCCACTGTATCAGTGGGATTCTCACTACAAAACAGACCAGCCTAGGGAAGTGAAAGAGATTTAACCCCTTTTCTGGTGAAAGCATGCAAAATCCAAGGCAGTTTTTTTTATTTAAAAAAATTTTTTTTGCTTGCATTAATATTGGTCCCTGGAGAATAAACACTAATGGGGAATGCTGTTGGCTCTAGGATTCGCTATGCAGCACTTGGGCCAAAGAGATTTCCCAAGGCTCTCTGAATGAAATTCAGTTTGGAATAAGTCTCAGAATGAAGCTTTGTTGAACAGACTTTTGAAACTCCAAGTCATGGTAGGTCGTGTGATTGTCTTTAACACCTAAGGAAGTTATGAAATAATTAAAATGTATTTAGTATGCTCGATGTGTTTACTACATTTTTGTATATTCTAATTGATGCCTCTTCCAACATATGAAATTCAACATTTAATTATTTCTTTAATTTCATTAAAATGATGAGAGTATAAAATAGTACATGATGAAGGTGCCTATAGCTCCCCCTGAATTCATGCTAATGGAATATCTATTTTCTTTATTCTTTTTATTCTCACTGTGGTTTTTCAGCTTATGTCTACACAGCATATCTGTTGATTTGGGAAGAAACTAATGCATATGTTTAAATAGTATAATAAAACAATCATTTAGCTAATTGAAAATTTTAGAAATAGAAACTGTATAAAAGTATAGACAATTGGGTTATCCTCTTGTGTATGGAAATGGGGTTCTTTCTCCCACGCATATCTACCTCAATGTATTTTCTTTTACCAAAAAAAAGAAAAAAAAGGTCTTTGTTCTGGCTTCCTCAGAAGCAGTGCTTGAGGCCAAAGCTATGGCTGATACTGCTTTATTGAGGAGTATAACCCAGGCAAGCAGACGTGAGTGGGATGCTGAGAAGTAGGACAGGGAGTGAGAGCAAAGTCAAGCAGTGCGTTCTGAGCTGGACACACTCTGTGTCAAGTGCAGCCTGTTCTTCAGTTCAGCAGACATTTGAGGAGAGGCTGTGTCCCAGAGCAGCCCGTGGTTAAGCATCTGTAAAATGCATGTAATGGGGAAACCCTAGGTACATAGCACAGTTCCCTAATTCATGGTTATTAATGGTCTATGACTCACAGGATTGTGACGGCACATGGTACGATCTCAGTATAAGTGGCCCTAACATACACATGCCTCTGGATCCATTTCCTGAACACTCTCCATGGGTTTGATTTTTATTATACTCTTGTTAATGAACTTGACACTTTTTTCAAGGCCAATCAAACCTGTATCCATGAAGCGCCCCTCATTCATCTTTCACTCGGCTTATATCTACAGAGTATTTACTTAGTGTCAGGAGCTGTTTTGGACACTATTCTTTTTTTAAGATTTAATTTATTTATTCATGAAAGACACACAGAGGCAGAGACATAGGCGGAGGAAGAAGCAGGATCTCTATGGGGAGCCTGATGTGGAACTTGATCTTGGGACTCCGGGATCATGGCCTGAGCCACAGGCAGACACTCAACCACTGAGCCACCCAGGCGTCCCTGTTTTAGACACTCTTATAGAGTCTATCTGATATTTAAACTACCTGAGAGGTCAATATTGCTAATCTCAAGTTCAATATGAGACAGCTGAGCTTTGGTGGGGTTAGCCGACACTCCAGGTTACAAAACTAGTTAGTAACAGTTACCACCACCACCTGGGTTGTCTGATGTAAATTCTGTTCTCTTGGGCACCTGGATGGCTCAGTGGTTGAGTGCCTTTGGCTCAGGTTGTGATCCTGGTCTGGGACTGAGTC